TTCATTCCAATCCATAATTTCAAAGAGTACTGAATAGCTATGAAATATGCAAAATTATCTCATTATTCTTTGGTTAATTATATTGGATTGGAAGCTAGCTGTGCTGTAAATATGCATTTCAGGTTTATTTCTATTTGTTGTATTGTTTGTTTGTTTTCAAGTAAATATGTCGAAATGATGAAGATGGAATGTGAATAGTCAAAAGGAAGAAGCTTGGAATGGTTGGAATGTAGAAAAAAAGAAAAGCCATACAAAGTGATGTGTCCAGACGATGTAATAACTCATCTGAACTCCATTTCCAATGGATTTGGCACATTCAGACACAATCTCATGTTTCGATGTAATTTTCAGAGAAGTTGGTGCGTTCAGATGCATGAAATGCGCATCCAAACACGACTGATGAAGTTTGCAAGAAAAGGGCATGCGTTCGGACACATGTTTCTTGAGTCTAAACACAACATATGTTTTATCTAAGAATTATACTTTGACTTTGATTAGGTTTCTAGCTTCCAAATTCATGTACAAATACTCGTAAAACCCTGATTCGGGATTATCTTACTTTAAGCCTCTCTTTTCCCTAGTGTTTGTCTTTGTTATTATTTTATGGATTGCTAAATGAATCTCCAAGGTGATCCCCAATACTTTAGTATTCTAAATCACTGTTTCAAACCCTAAATTTACTATTTTCTAAATTCAACTCTATAAAAATAATTTCAAAAGAAATTTTATTTTAATCTTCTTTGTGTTATGGGTTTTTCACCAATTCCCTATTGCATGATCTTGGACATTTGAGATTATATTATTTTGTGACAACCTACGTTAGGGTATTCAATTCTAAAGTTGTAGAAAGTACATTTACACCTAGATGAGAAAGTATGAGAGGATTAATGGATTGACTTTTGATGATATTCTTTGATTTGTAGTGATCTCAACGTCTTTTACAGTTATCATTGAGGAATTATAGATTCAAGTTTTGCTCCATCCTTCTTTCTCTTGGAATTGAAGATGAAGTAGAGCCACCTTTGATATTTGGAGGCATAATGAGTGAGTTTTCATAGAGAATGAGAAAATGAAAGAATTGTGGGTTTGATGGTAGAAAGGAAGATGACAAACTTGAGATCTAAGCTTGAGAGACAGTGCCTTTTGAATTGGAAGAAGAAAGGAGTTGGTTTTAAAGGCAAGAGGGAACGGTTTTGAGGAGTTATTAGGAGTAAGATGCAAACTTTCACAAAGAATCGAGTTGATTTTTAAATCTGTTGATCGAATCGGGAAGTCTTGATGACTCATCTACCTTGAAACCAGTTTCTCATGTTTTTCCCTTTTTCATTTGTTCAATTTCCTTCTAATCCCCACTACCATGGATATAATACTCCTAACTCTCTTATAATTTCACAAAATTTATCCTTACTCAATAGTTTTGTGAATATGTCCACTAATTTGTCCTCAATCAAATTCAAGCTTTACATCCTATTTTGGACATGATCCCGAATGAATTGATGTCTAATTTCATTGGGCTTTGTCCGTAAGTGTTGGATTGGATTCTTAGCAAGATTTATGGCATTTATGTTTTCACCCCTAGTTGGAATGTTTTCAAATTTTAGATTAAAATCTAGCAAAGTTTGTTTCATCCACATAACTTGTGCACAACTACACCCAACCACAATGTATTTGTCCTCGGCTATTAACAAAGCAACCGAATTTGGTTTCTTACTAAACCAAGAAACAAGTGTCCTAGGAATTGACAAGTTTCACTTGTTCTTTTCCTAGCTACTTTATACCCGGCAAAGTCCACATCCAAGTACCTAATAAGATCAAATGATGTACTTTAAGGATACCATAAACCAAAGTTTGTGGTTCCTCCTAAATATCTAAAAATTCTCTTAATGACAATAAGATGTGATTCTTTAGGATTAGCTTGAAATATAACACACAAGAATACACTAAACATTATATCAGGTTTACCAGCCATCTAGCCATCAAATAAAGTAAACTATCAATCATATCTCTACAAAGCTTCACATCTATATCTTACCATTTTGTCAAGCTTTATCAAGCTTTAGTAAAGTACTCAATGGAAGTTCCATAAGGTTTGCATTTTCTAAACCAAATATCTTTAGTAGTTCCTTAGTATGTTTTGATTGGTTTAAGAAAATTCCTAATTTTTCTTGCCTTTTTTTTTTTACAAACCTAAAAAGAAGTTTAGTTTTCCCATTAAGCTCATTTCAACTTCCTTGCTCATACATTGTGAAAAATTCTTACATAGTTTATCATTAGTAGCACCAAATATAATGTCATCCACATATATTTGCACAAAAAGAATATCATCATGAACAAATATCATAAACAATGTATTATCTACTTTCCGCATGGAGAATTCATTATCTAGCAAATATTTACTTAATAATTCATTTTTTTCTTTATCATTCATACCGTGCTCTAGGAGCTTATTTTAACCCATATAGTGCTTTAGTTAGCTTAAAGACTTGATTAGGATTGTGACAATCTTCAAATTCAAGAGGTTGTTCTACATATACATCTTTCGTTGTGTCCATTTTGAAAAACACATTTTACATCCATTTGGTACAATTTAAAATCTCTATTAAAAGCATATAGTAACTTCATCCTCATAGATTCTAATCTAGCTACCGGTTCAAAAGTCTCATCATAGCCTACGCCTTCTTGTAGATTGTAATTTTGGGCTACCAATCTAACTTTGTTGGTAGTTATATTAGCATCTTGATCTAATTTGTTTATAAAAACCCAATTGGTTCCTATGATGGTTAGGCCTAGGAACCAATTCTCATACTTTGCTTCTTTTAAATTGGTTTAATTCTTCTTGCATGACCATTATCCAAGACTAGTCATTTAGTATTTCATTTATGTTCTTTGGTTCTATGAGGCAAAAAGCTAGGTTATTATAAATGTTCCTTAGACTAGCTCTAGTTTTGACTCCTTGAAATAGGTCTCCAATAACTTGATCTCATGAACTCTCTTAAACTCTTTTGGGTGTTCTTGAGAAGATGTCACTACTTGTTTGTCAATTTGAGGCTTAATCTACATTAAGTTGTTCAAATTTAAAGGTTAGATCTATCTCATCATCATCTTCTACGTTTTTAACTACAAGTGGATTCGATTCATCAAATACAACATGCATTGATTCTTCTACTATAAGAGTTTGTTTATTAAAAACTTTATAGGTTTTACTTTGGGTTGAGTAACCTAAGAAGATTGCTTCATCTGATTTTGCATCAAATTTTTCTAGGTGATCTTTAGTAATTACAACAAAACATTTCCTATTTTAGGTTTTCTATTATTCCACAACTCATTGGGAGTCTTTTTAATTATAAGTCTAATAAGAGCCCTGTTTAAAATATAGCACAAGCAATTTAGGGCTTTTCCCCAAAGGTACTTGGGCAAGTTATATTCATTTAACATTGTTCTACTCATTTCAATTGTAGTTCTATTTTTTCTTTCAACTTCACCATTTTGTGGGGGTGTTCAAGGTGCCAAAATTCATGTCAATATCCTTTGTCTAGACAAAAATTCTCAAACTTATGTTGATCAAATTTTCCATCATGATCACTCATAACATGAGTAATTATGTAGCATTTTTCATTTTGAACTCTCTTGGAATAATTTTGAAGACTTCTAGTGCATTAGTCTTATGTGTGAAGCAATATACCCAAGTGTATCTAGAATCAATGACAGCTCTATTAAGGGACCAGAGGGCTGCAGCCACCCTCAATTTTTTTAATTTTTTCTATAAACATATAGATAGATATTTATGAAACATTACAAATGTATATTGTACTGTGTCCACTCTATTATGTACATATTTTAATTATACTTTTGTTAAAACAATTTTAGGATATGTCAATATATATGTTCAGTCATTTTTATTGTGTTAGAACTCTTTTCAATTGGTCTTGATTTGTATATTTATGAGTTTTTTGTTCAATGTTCTTAGTATGATATAAAAATTGGCATGTAACATACTCATATATACATAATACAATACAATATAATAAATATGTGTCCACGCTAAGAAATTTTTCTGGCTCCGCCACTGTCTAGGATAGTCATCTACTATCACAAAACATAGTTTTTTCCTCCAATGCTAATTGCATTTGAGGGTCCAAATAAGTCTATATGAATTACTTCTAAGAGTCTATAGGTGGATATTATATTCTTAAACTTAAATGAGCTCTTACATTATTTTCTTAATTGACACGGTTATTATATTATATCCTTTTCAAACTTTATCTTAGGTAAGTCAACTATCAAATGTTTTCTAACAAGTTTAGATAGTGTGTCTATACTACAATGTCATAATCTTCAATGCCTCATTTTTAACTACAGACAAACATTTAACATTTTGATCAACCAAGTCATCTAGATCTACTACAGACACATTTCTACTCTCTTAGCTACAAACAAAGCACAATTAGCAACTATATTTTCTACTTTGCAAGTATTAGCCTAAAAAACAACTCTAAATCTTTTATCACATAATTGGCTAATACTTGGTAGGTTATGTTTCAAGTCATTTACTAATAACACATTTTCAATCTGGAGTGAAGACTTCTTACCCATATTTCCAATTCCTACAATCTTTCATACGACATTGTCTCCAAAATTAACATATCTACTGTCTTCCTTTGATAGTTGAGCAAACTTTTAAATATCACCCATCATGTGTTTTAAGAATCCACTATCAAGGAACCATTTGTTGGTTTTGTGTGTGGACTTGAATGTACCTACACAAGCAAATCAAGGATTGTATTTTGGTGTCCATCTTGTTTTGGATTCTTGATAGTTAACATATAACTTATGCATGAAGCTAGTGTGACATGATATCCTAACAAAACAATTATAAGCAAGATAATAAAAGAGATCTCAAATCTCTAGAGACATTGACTACCCAGTCACTAGGGACACTTTTGCTTATTTGGTTTACTGCTACTCGGTGCGCAGGCCTATTGATTTGTCTTGAGATAACACTAAAAGGAAAACCCTGACACTATTTCCATAGCGCTCAGTTGAACGAGCTCCTTATTATTGCTTTTCATCATTGCTTCTTTTGACTGCATTGAAATTGCCAGAAGGCATGCCTCACAAAGAGCAATTGCCTTAGAAAGTAGGCTGGAGACAACTGAAAAAGTCATACCCCGCCCCTCTATAAGATGTCCTCTAGAGTTTCTAACAATAATTCCGACTGACATCGTTGGGTTGTTGTGTTTATATGCCCCATCACGACTGAACTTGGCCTTGTTCTCAACAGATGGAGTCCAAGCATCTTCATTCTCCACATGGTCACCCCCAGTTCCAATCTAATCTTGGATTAAATCATTTCTAGCATTACAGAAATCTCACAACACAACTCTAGAATTATGATCTATCTTAAAATTGCCCCATTCCAAGCTTTCCAAATCAGCCATCCTACATTGGCTACCCTGCTTAGAAGATCCACTACTTGGCTATGATTACCCATCTACTCCAGAAGTGAAGTGGTCCACTGTATCAATGGCACAAAGGAGTACTCTTCGGGTTTATAATCAAAGTCCATATTTGTGTCATGATTCATATGAGTTCCTTTTTCATCCTTGGCTATAGAGTAACCAGGCTTGATTGTATAGATCCCTTTAAGATCGTGGTGCCACACAATACTGTCTTCAATTAGATGACTATGATTTGTCAGTTGTTAACTCCAAAATTACTAACATAATTCATGAAAATTAAAATTGCCTTCCTAGCGCTAAGCTTGCTCGTTTTAACCCTTTATGAACTTTCCAAATTATATGATATTTATTCTGACCCCAATCCATAAAATAATTCTTCTAAGGCTTATATAGCACTCTCACACGTCATGTCATGAGTTAAGTTAAAAATTAAATTAAATTGTCATACAAAGATGACATAATTAAAATGAGAGCATTTTAGTATGGACACATATATAATTTTTTGCAACATTAGCAGGTGGTAGTAACAACATAACCAAAATAAGAGTAAAAGGTTAGTGCGATTTAGAAAGAAAGTTTGTCGTAAGGTCATTCAAAATGAATGCAATGGGGCGGTTTGTCAGCAAGGATGGAAGCGTGAAAACCAAGCAAAAAAGGAAAATATGAATTCTTTAAATTCACAGAATTTTAGCAATTTGTTTTGAACTTCTCATGCAAATTTCAAGGAATTTTCGCATCCACCCATTCTACATTAACCGAATCCACCATATTCAATAATTCACTCACTTTGCGTAAACTTCTACCTAGGAAAATCATTACAAAAATATATCAATTTTAAGAAAAATTTATAATTTCGGCCCTTGGTTTTGCATATGGGATGTGAAGAACATCAATCATTGATCAGTGACCGATGGCCGTGAAGATTTGTTGATGAGAAATTCGATATAGTACAGCTGAGACCCGAACCCAATGCAGCTGGGTAGTTGGGTTATATTGGGCTTTTTTAGATCATTTCCTTGGGTTGCTTATTGGGCTTACTTGTTTTCAATTTAGAATTTTAATACTATCTTAGTTTGTTTACTTGTACTAGACAAATAAAAAATAATATTTATATAATTTATTGTTTAAACTTTGTAAGCTATCTCACGTAGTCGTATTGGGAAAAGAAAAATCATTTATTTATTTATTTTTGATGACTCAATCAACCTAAATGCCCTGTTTGGTATAGTGAAAAATAGGGTAAAAGGAAAATAGGATGAAAAGATAAGGTTTTTACCGTTTGGTTGAGAGGAAAAATAGGATAAAAAGGAAAGTTGGAAAGATTATATTTCCACCTTGTCCAATAAAATTTTTTCATCCAAGTTTGAGCAAAAAATAGAAAGAAAAAGATAGAGGTTAGGCTATTCATGGTGATTTTACTTTTTTGCCCTTTATTTATTTCTCATCTATCAAACACATGCAAGGAAGTTTTCAAGAAGGAAGAAGACAACTTGTAGAGGAGCATGTTCTATTTGTGATGTTTGACTTTGACTCTTTAACAAAGAAGTTTTTTGTAAAATTTTTACTTTTGGTCATTGTTAAAACATAATTTGGCTTTGTCAAAAACACATATTTGACTTGAAAGAAGTTTTTTTAATTTCTCACTTCCTTGAGTGAATTTAGAAAGTTGATAATATCGATAATATGAATATGCCTCGCCTTGAAGATTAAGGAAAAAGAATTCAATCCCTAAAGCAATTCCGGTAATAAGAGCTATTGGCATTATCGTTGTGGGAGGGGCGGAAGACGTCCTTAGGGAATGCGTTCTTCAGGTTTCTAAAGTCAATGCAAACCCAAATTCACCCATTCTTCTTGGTCACTGAGGCAATCTTTGTCAACCAATCGGGATGCTCTTCTTCTCTTATGAAAGCCGCATCTTTTTTCTTTTTTGACTTCTTTCTCCATCTTCCTCATGAGGAGTGTATGAAAGCATCGTTGCACTTGCTTGATGGGCTTAGAATCTGGTTTGATATTAAGTATGTGAACAACAATTTCAGGGTCTAGCCCAAACATCCCAGCGTAACTCTAGTAGAAACAATTGTATTTAAATTACGATTCTTTCTTCTTAACTTATTGTTTTCACTTTTAAGCTTTTCAATCTAGGATGAATCTTGAGATTCCTTTTCAAAGAAGCATTTTGAACTTTGAGTTTTTCATTCTCAATTTAAAAAAATCATTTTCATTTGATAAAATGACTAATTTCTTCTTGAGATTTTTATATATTTTGGTAAGACTAAGCAAGTCATCATACAAAGTATTCATGGCATCGCACATATCATTCTAAGATGATTTTTCATGCTCATTTGATAAAAAATGTACCTCATCATTGTCCTCCAAAGCCATGAAGCAGAGATTTACTACTTGCTTCTTGTCTTCATTCTCGAAGTCACTATCTTCATTAACACTCAAAGTTGTTTTCATTGCAACTTTCTTATCTTTTTTGTTGGATTTCTTCAATAATGGACAATTTGGCTTGATGTGTCTCAACTTGTTGCATTCATAACAAATAGCTCAATTGCAATTAGAATTCTTCCCTTTTCGATATGAACCTTGATTCCTCAAAAATCTTTGAATTTTCTCGTGACGAAAGAATATTCTTTATCACTTTCTTCTTTCTCTTCATCAATTTCATTTGTTGTCTTGGTTGACTTAAAGGCAATTGATTTATTTTCCTTTTTCTCTTGCTCTTCATCTCTTTTAATGCTCATCTCATACGTCATAAGTGATCCAAGGAGTTCTTCCAGAGGAAAGGCCTTGAGGTCCTTTGCTTTTACGATGACGATCACCTTGGCATCCCATGATCTTAATAGGAACCTAAGGATTTTTCTCACAAATTCCTCATCGACATATGATTTACCGAGAGATTTTAGAGCATTAATAATGTTTGTGAAATGAGTAAACAGATATGATATGCTCTCATGAGGTTCCATCTTAAATAGCTCATAATGATGAACATACATATTTATTTTGAATCCTTAACACTACTCGTTCCTTCATGAGTGACTTATAGCATATGCCATATTTGCCTAGCATTTTCACATATGTTAATGCGATTAAATTCACTTCTATCTAGTGCGCAATATAATGTATTCATAGCTTTAGCATTGCCAGTATGCATTTTCTTTTCACTAGTTCACTACTTTTTATCTTTTGTGGATTTTTCATATCTATCTTCATTAATATCCCATAATGCATCAGCTAAAGACAAGATATAAATTTTCATTCTTACATTTCAATATGCATAGTCATTCCCATTAAAGAATGGAGGTCTAGAGATTGATTATCTTTCATCTATGTTTCCTCCTAGAGTTGCCATTATCTTTAACTCTAAAGTTGTTACACACTAAGTCTAGAGCCCTTGCTTGGATATCAATTATTGGTCCAAATACAACCTAAGATGGGGTGAATTAGGTTTTAACTTTTCAAAAACTCTATACAAAATAAGATAACTATTTATAAAATTGTTTTGATTGAAGGTAGGTGAATTTGCAATAAATGAGTAATGAAAGAAAATGTAGGCAGACAATAGATAACAAAATGAAGAGAGAGAGAGAGACACACAAACACAATTTATGGAGGTTCGGCCCCAAAATACTTGGTGTACGCCCTCTATTCTTCCTCCCGTTAGAGTTTCCTTTTCACTAGGTTTATCCTCTTCAACCTTCTTCTTCTTGATACTAATAATAAACTCCTCTTTAATACACTTCAATAATTATATTCAACAAGCTCTCTTTATTAACAATATTCTCCCAATACAATAATCTCATAGAACCCTAAAGAATAGAAGGGAAGAGAATAAAAAGTTCAGAAAAACCTTCATTACAGATGTAGAGAAAAGCAAATGAATCTCTATTTTTGTTTTTGTTTACAGGTTAAAGCTCAAAAAGGTACTCTTCAAATCTCTCAAGGCCCTATTTATAGTTTGGGTGTATTTAATTAGAGAATGAAAGCCAACACAATTAAAACCGTTGTGTTCGGAAACCCATCCAGAATTCTGGATAGTCTTCCGATGTGACTGTTGTAAGCATAACAACTACATCTTGAATTCCGGATGGCCATTTGTACTTCCGGACAAACCCATTATTTTGGCCTTGGCTTGGATCCCTCAAATCTTGCAATTCCAAAGACTTTTTGAGAGTTTTCGGAGGAACAGTGTCCGGATTTCCAGATGAAAGGGAATCGGACTTTAGAAAGACGTCCTTTTTGTATTCTTCTTAACTGAAATTCCAAATACTAAAGCCCAACTTCCGGAGTAGCCTACCAGATGCACATCTGGAGTTCTGAATAAGCTTCCTAATGCACTTCGTTTCCTTAAGTATTCATTTTCAACCGGAATTTCGAATAGGCTATCTGGACTTCCGGAGTAGCCTTCCAGATGATACGTCCGGAATATCGGATAACCCTTAGCCTCAATGACCAGTTATATCACCCTTTTCATTAATCAAAACATCAATAAGCCCATGAGAATAATTCTGTAAAACCACATCAATCCGTTTCTACCATAACAAAGCCAAACCACTTGATTTCCCCTATGAAGCTATACCACCCCATTCATTCCCAAACTCAACTTCAGAAAATCTATTTTCCTAGAATTATAACTATTCTAAGTTGCCAAAGGCCGTGCCAGTTCCAACTCAAGGTTTTCATGGTGATCAGTGGAACTCGTGACCAATTCTCACCGTTAATTCATCCAAACCGACTAAAGCAATTGAGTTTTCATACGGACTGACCTTATTTCTTTTCTTCGAGTTTGGTACGAGATCTAGATCCATAGTATCACTTTAAGAACCTTGCTTCCATTTCCCTTGATCAATCCCATGATTCTTCGAAAAAGGACTTGCAGTCGAACGACTCGAACCCTTCTCCTTTCTCTTCAACCTCTTCGCGTATGAGGTATCCCTTCTGGGTAACAAAACTACTCCTTCACCCCTTCCACAAAATTATTCCACCCTATGGGCTGGGCCGAAGACATAATATGAATATCCAATAGATACTAAGCTGCCCACTGGATCTCCATACTGCTTGGGCTTTTGCTAGAAATGTCGTAAGTCCTTACCACTTTTTTATGACCCTATCTTCTGGACCTAATGGATAAAGGCTTTATCTAATAAGAGTCCCTTGTTAGTAGGACAATTTAGAAGTCGATACAATTTTTTAGATTTATTTAAGTAAAAGTACAACTCAAAAATTTATTTTGGGTAAAATGCATATTTTTTAAAAATGCCACTATTGCCATCGATAAACAGCATATGGATGGAAACCCTTTTATATCATTTTTCTTTTCTTTTTTTTTGGCTACAATCAAGTAATGGGAGAGGTAAAATAGGAACATATTTTTTCTAACAATTTCTCTCTCTTTCTCCCTATTTTCTTTTACTATATTTATATTAATATTACAACAACACAATTACACTAATCAGTTACATCAAACAATTACAATTGTCATATAATACATCAAAACAGTTATTCATGCATTCTAATAAACTAAACAATTACACAAAATTATGACATCAACTCAATTTATCATTTAGTTGTTTACATAAACTAAATAGTTGTACTATTTAGTATTGTGACATTGTTACACCAGCGTGCCTTAACAATTGCATGAGACTGTGATTGTTACATCCATTAAAAAAATAGTTACACATATTAAAAAAACAGTAACGCACATTAAAAACAGTTACACTCATTAAAAAAATAGTTACACCCATTAAAAAAATAGTTACATTAATTAAAAAATAATTACACCCATTAAAAAAAAAGATTTTTTTTCCTACATCCTAACAACAAATAATAAATAATATCTAACCAACTTTCACAATTTGATACACAGTTTATATATATATAAATTGTGTATCAAACTGTGAAAGTTTATATATATATAAATTGTGTATCAAACTGTGAAAGTGAAACAAACTGATCACACACACACACAAATATATATATATATAGGTAAGGTAGCTACTCGCACCGACTCCTCTTCCGTCGGCTTCTTTGAGCATTAGTTTTCTGCTTCCGTGGGTGGTGCTTTTCTCATTACGTGTAGTTACCTCCGGCTTACTCTCTCTCTCTCTCTCTCTCTCTCTATATATATATATATATATATATATATATTTGTTTCATCAAATAACTTTCAATGATGACTGTATAAATTAAGAAAGAGTGTTTAAGTAAAAAAGATTGAATTTTGTACCTAAACACAAAACAAATTATAAAAATTGTATTTAATAGAATAAACAATTTATTCAAACACTTTTGCCTAAGTAAGTTTAAAAAATTGTATCCACGCCTAAAAAACCCTTATTGCTATTCATTCTCTTTTCTATTTGAACTTCTTCCTTTGAAATAACATTGGCCTTATCATTCAAGGGAAAATTTACTTCTTGGATATATCTCCCTTTAAATCTTGGCAACTAATCCAATCCACTAGGGGTGATTTACCATTATCCACGAAATTGAGGGGCTCACTAGTATTATTCTTTCCTTTACGAAAATTTTGAAATTGGTAATTAAAGGAAAAATTAACTCCCCTAAATCCTGACTTTCAACCACAATCCTGGAATAATTAGCTCACATTCCTCTGTCACTGATTAGAAGCCTCCTCCAACATGGTTGGTTCACCGGTAGGAGCAACTCTGATCCACCCTTATTCTCTCTCGGGGAATTGTGATCATCATGCTTGTGTATAGTTGTTTTCTTTATAACTCCGCCTGATGAAGCCTTTAACCAGTGCCCATATTGCAACGACCCTTTTATGGAGTAGTTTTTCAACCCCCAACCTTTTAGAAAATCTCTTTCTCCATGGCCAAATCATCCAAAACAATAGAAGATATGCGACAACCTCTCATACTTAAAGAAAAACATGGAACTTGAGCCATCTACACCCTTTGGATTCACCCTCTAAGTAGAGGTTTCTGAATTTTAATATTAACTTGGATCCTTATACACCTACAGTCACGTCCCAAAATCCCTCCTCCTTAGGGTATTGAGCATGGCTGACCATGAAGGCCTCACATGGAACCAAACGAGTTATCACTTGTATATGTTTAATGATTTTCTTAATAGAAGCATCTGTGATTACATCTGATCTACTTGTAATAATACCATAAGCATATATATAAATTCCCCATACAATCACACTTGATTAGCAACTCATAAACCTATATCGGCCATTTAAACAAAGCATGACCTTTATAAACTAAATGAAACTTTCCGAAAAGTTCATTCACAACTCCTATACATAACCACCAAAATGTTATCTTATATATATATAATTTGTTCCATTGAGCTTAGTCCCCTTTACCTGAAAAGGTTTTATAAAAAAAGAATGAGCAATGCCCAGTGAATAATTCATATGCCTTGTAATGGTTTTCAAGTAAAACCCAACATTTTCATGGATATCAATACTCATATCAAATAGC